AGAACATGCGGGTGTGATTATGTGAGTGTAATAGTTGCAAAGAGAGGAAGATGAATTTGGAGAAGGGCTATATTAGTCTTTTGAAAACTGCCTTTCACAGAGACTAGCCTAATAAGTGCTCACTGACTAATAGGCTGACCAAGAAAGATAATGTTTCATTTTTTTTTATCTTAGCACAGTTTGACCTATGTACTTCTACAAATTTTACATTATGAGTTTCTTTATCTGGTAAACCCTGCACAATAAGAACTGTTTATTTTATTGTATATTTTAAATGTCTAATATATATTTAGTTCTGTGAGTAATTGATAGCTGTATATTGACTGGTTGAAATCAGAGAAGTCTGACCATGGTAGGAATTTAAAATTGTGGTAGAAATTTTGAGTTTGGGTAAAATTCATTATGAGTAAACGGAAGAGAAAGCCAGTGTATTAGCTACCTGCGGCTGCTGTAAGAAATTATCACACACTAGGTGGCTCAAAAAAACAAAAATTTATTCTTTTATAGTTTTAGAGACTAGAAATTTGAAATCAAGTTGTTGCAGAGCCGCATTCTCTCTAAAGGGTTTAGCGGTGAATCCTTTCCTTGCCTCTTCCAGCTTCTTGTGGCTCCAGGCATTTGTTAGCTTGTGGCTACATCTTTCCATTCTCTGCCTCCATGGTCACATTGCCACCTCCTCTTCAGTCTCAGAACTCCCTCTCCTCTTTTACAAGGATATGTGTGATTGCATTTAGGGCCCATCCATATAATGCAGGGTAAGTTCCTCCTCTTAAGACCCTTAATTTAATCCCATCTTTTACTATATAAAGTAATATTCATAGCATCCAGAGATTAGGAGGTGACACATCTTTTGGGGGTTGTTGTAATATTTAGCCTACTATAATCTGGAAGCCTCAGTTTCTGAACATGGATGAAAAAAGAATCAAAACCAAACTAGCGTTAGAGTGGTGAACATATTATTTGTTCATTTCATATTTTTGAGCTCTTAATATGTTCCTATGGTTGTTTTAGATGTTGGGGTTGTGAAGATGAGTAAAACATGTTTCTTGTCATGGAGGAAGTTACATTGCATGTGTTACATATACTAAAATGCAAGATAAAGACGGAATAATTATGTATATTTGAGAGATACAGTACTTTATGGAGGAAGTAGTGCATTCCTGAGCAAGGTTTGAAGGCCCATTAGAAATTCACTAGATCAGAATACAGAGGGATGGAAAAGGACTTCTGGGCAACTAAATTAGCATTCGCAAAAACATGGAGGTGGAAAAACCACAGTGTGTGCTCAGGAAGCTACCAGTAAGTTCACCGAGATCACTGTTAAGCTTGTTTTCATTTCTAATATACAAATTAGCCATCTCCCATTTTACCAGTTACAAAGTAAATATTCTTTACTGTGACAGTAAAAGCAAAAATTTTTTCATAGATTAAGAAAATCTATGAGTGGCCATTAAATATATGAAAAAGTGCT